AAAAAAAAAAAAAGAAATAAAAGAAGTCAGTGTGAAGTTGGGAGAAGAGAAACCAAGCCAACCAATAATGGCACCAAGATATAAATACGATTCTGAACTCTGACATGGGCAGATTCTTATCTCAGGTCAATTTCTCTTCTCTAGAGAAGCAAATCCTCCTTTTATTCCCTATAGGGTGAGGAACAGAAATCTTACAAGTTTTTGTTCATAAGCCTGGGGTTCTCACTGTTTCTCTTTTTGTAAAATCCAGCAGCTCTTCAACTGCAAAGCTAGGTATAAGATTATAAAGTCATCAGTATATGGGCTATGGGCTCTTTCTCAGTCTTTCTGTTTTAGTTTCATCGTCTAAGAATGGAGTTAATAATGCCAGTTAGTGTGATGAATGTGACGCTGACAGATAATTATAAAAAGTAGATAGAATAGCATCTGGCACATGGCTGGCAATTCTCATTACTATAATCATGTTAGAATTTAATCTCTTCCTGAATCTTCCTCATTCTATCGCTATATTATTTTTGAATAGTAATTCTAATTCATATTACCAGCTTCTACAATTTGATAAAATAGTACAAATATATAGAATGGTTCTATAAAATTATATTTTTTTACATTCAAGTTCAATTAAATCCACTCTTCCATGTGAGATCCAGAGTGTGTAAAATTTAATTTTGGCTTCCAGTGGGCCTACACTGAAACTGGGCCGGGCAGGGGGGTCACACACATTCTGGTATTTCCTTTCTAACAAAAAACCCAGCAGCACCACTCTTTTTTTTAAAATTCAACCAAGTGAGATGTGGGAATTCATTCATTTTTTAAAAACACGTGCTGCTACTGAACACGCCTCTTTAGTGCCGTTGGACACCCATCCTCACAGCATGTCCCCTGCTCGGAGTGCTCCTTCCTCGGCAGAGCTGCACCTTGGGCCAGCACAGGCCACTCCAGCACTAGGACAGCCTGGGGCGCCAGGCCTGAGTCGCACATGGTGGCTCTGAGCCGGTCTCAGTGGGCCCTGGAGCAGGAGGCTGTAGACAGCCATCGTTGCCTTTGCTCGGGTGGCTCGCTTACTGCGGCTTCTGACACGGACATCCTGAGGTCTGCCTGCAGGTAGTGTGGTCTGTGTGCACTACTGTGTGCAGTGAGCCGCAGCCAGAGAGAAAACGGATGAGCTTAGAGAACCAGAGACGTGTGTCCTGAGGAGGGACTAAGGAACAGAAAAGTAGAAAATAAAATGAAATCAAGGGATTAGGGATCCCTTTGCTTTGAACAGTGGAGAATTTCAGAGAATTTTTCTTTCAAAAACTGCATCGAGGTCTCATAGAACAATAACCAAGATAACCCTTTGAATGAACTCATACTTCAACTAAGGGTATATTGTTATTTAAAGAGAACATTAAATAATTATTACATTTAAATCAAGCAGAAGACTTTTCCATGGATGTATGCTTATCTCCAGACTCATCACAAGGAACCCATTAACTATGTACAGTTCTTTATATATCAATCATATCACAATAAAAAAAGCTTTTAAGCAGCTGTTGAGGTTCTCGAGTGCAGGGCCACACACAGCACACAGGAATCTCCAGGTGCTGTTTGCCAGGTTGAGCCTGCACCACTGACAGAGCTGGGGGCTTCGGCTCATCCAAGGGGGGCGCCCTGTGCTGTTCCTGGGAGGCTTCACCCCCCGGGCTCCCTTTCTTATATTCCAGGTCACAGCCAAAAGGGACTGAAAAATTTTGATAACCGAACCACAAAATAATTGGCATCCTTTTAATGCTACATATTTTATTTTAAATGACATTATTTTAAATGCAGTTAAAAAATACACCATTCATCCTTTGGATGCCATCAGACTGCCGAAGGAGTTGCAGAACACACGTGGTTGATGTAAGTCAGTTGCCTGATCTTAAAATATACCCCTCAATAAGGGGGCTTATATTTTGTGGGGGAATATTAGAAAGAGAGACTTCAACACACACCACCGTGAACAATGAAAAGGAAAGGGGTTCTCTGAACTGGCTCTGACCTTTCCAGCATTTTGTTCTGGCCTCCGAAAGCTAGCACGGTCCTGATGGCCCCTAGGGCCTCCTCGGCCACGGCACCCGCCTTGGAGTATGCGGCCAGCTCCATGTCACTAAACCGTGACAGAACCTGGACAGAGAGAAGCAGTCAGGACCCGGGTGTGAGCAGCAGTGCCACAGGCAGCCTGGGAGACTCTCAGCCTAGTTCTTTGGGTGTTGAAGTCCTGCAGCAATGGCACCCAGAGGCCCAGAGCCAGTGGCCACTGCTGCCCAGGTGACAGGCACTCCAAGAGCAGTCAGGAAAAGGAAACCCGGAGCTCTCTAGCAGTGCTTTGGGGAATAGTGTCAGATCCACATCTACTGCTATCTTTCCAGCTCACTGTTGGGTGAAATAAAACAAAACTTTATATTTTGAAATTATTCACCATGCTTTCCCTTATGATGTCACGATCTCTACGTACTATGAAAATAATACTTTCAAACTCACTCATGGGCAGTCCACTGAATAAGAAGATGGCCAAAAAAGATGCTTCAGAAGAAGGGTAAAGGAAGAATTAAAATAAAAGAGATACAAATAGTTCACTAAGTAGATCATCAACCCCAGAAAGTACAAAAATTGCCAGCAGAATTTCTCCACTCTGAAGTGCTGGCAGTCAGAAAGCAGATGTGTACATTTCACTGTAAGCCAAAACTGGCAGAAGGCCTCTTAACTCTCACAGGTAAAAAGCCACAGGACAAAGCCCAGCCCTAAAAATTTACTTCATGCAATAATTTGGAGGAATGTTGCATTTTAAAATTACTTCCTTAAATGAGGACATATTCATTTATGCCATTTAAAACACTATGCTAGATTTACTCAAATAAATAACAGTACAAAGAAACCTAAAACTGAGATTAGAAATGTGAATTCTGAATCATACTAAAAATCAATTCCCTTGTTAAACAACATCCGTCTGCAGATGATTTCCCAGACATTTAGCATGGATTTGTGCAAGCATCAGAATTCTGCATATTAGCAGTAACTCCGCATGTGTGTGAGGTGAAGACACATAAAGGTGCCCGGTTCCACAGACCTTTGCCCAGACTGCTGTAGACACTCCCAGCACAGGGCTGATGGCCATGACCACCAGGGTGAGCTTCCAGCCTCTGATGAAACCCACTATGAATCCTGCAAAAAACGTGGCTACTGCTTGAAAGAACATGCCAACCTTGTCACCAATTCCTTCACTGATTTTGGAGATGTCACTGAAAAAGATCACACCTAAGTGGTTACAGGCAGAGGTCTTTGGTTAGGGAGGTGAAGCAGACATTTCACAAACACATACACAGCAAACAAAACATGTACATACTACTGCAAGCCTCTTTCAGAGTCTTAGCCTCCTGAATGAGATTTCCCCACCTAAATACTGCATGAAGGATAAAATTCAGGGTTAGTTTATGCTTCTAAGAAGTTACTATTAAAGTTGATACTATTACTCTTGAACTCATGAATCACTTTGTTTAAAAGCAGGAATTAGGAAAGGCAGTGCAACAATAATAGGGAGCAATCATGTGGAAGTATTATTTCCTATTACAATTTGAGCATCCCTATCCAAAAAAAATTGAAATCTGAAATGCTCCAAAATCTGAAAGCTTTTGAGTATTAAATGTTAGATTTTGGAGCTTTTCAGATTTTAAATATTTGGATTAAAGATCTTCCACTGGTAAAGTCTATGCAAGTATTCTAAAATCTGAAAAGCTCGCACACCTGAACCCCTCTTCTCCACGCTTGCCAGAGAAGGCATGCTCAGCCTCTTTGGGGAAGAAACCGGGAAGAGCCCCTTGCTTCTGCCCCTGCTCTGCCCTCACAGGGCAGTGTGATCTTGCAAAGGTGCAGGTCTGATCATGGCCTTCCCGCTGGCCATTCCGCTCAGGCTAGAGGACCAAGCCCTCACCAGCGCCCATGAGGTCTCCCTGGGTCTCCTTCGGGTTCTGACCTCATCTGCTCACCATGCTCTTCAGTCAGGAAAGTTCATCTTCTCTCTCCCCCTGCTGTTGTCAGCACCAGTGGTGGTGTCTGCTGTGTTCACTGACACGTCCCAAGCCCCTGGGATGGTGCGCAGGTGTTTTTTGGGTAGCACCCAACACCCACTAAGGCCAGCCCCTCAGTGAACTAATTTGATCACTTCTTCACCCACTCAGCTGTCTTTACTGAACGCCTTAGCCACTGTCAGGGCCTGCAGGGCACACCGGGAGGAACAAGTATGTCTCGGATGTGCACTGAGTCCCTGATAAACCTACGCTGTGGTAGGGAGGACAAAAACTAACAGGCATGGAAATCACGCAGTGGCACAGGCTACAGAGCTTCTAGAAATACCGTCAGATGCTCTTTTCCAATTTATGTCAAGCACTTAATCTAGTAAATTTTTTTTTTTGCTTAAAATGACTTCTGACAAATTTTCACAAGTTACTTCATCCTTTCTTCATGAAAGTGTGACATTAACAATACACTTACTCTGTCAGCCGTGTATTGAGCTCAGTGATGTCATTGATGTCAAACCAGCCTATTTCCTGTCGTAGAATAGAATGAAAAAACTTTTGCCTAATTTTCTTAATCTGTCGGCCAGCTGCCAAAGTCCAAAATGAAACCTGTATATAGGCAGCAACCAGAACTCCGGCACCTAATCCTGAGTAATAATAGGCGTATCTGGAAAATAATTAGAAAGACCTTTTCAAATACTCTGCTTTTTTCATCTCTTTTAGGAGCAATTTTAGCATTGAAAATTAATCAGTTTACCAAACTGATCACAAAGACTGTGCAGGACGTTATGACAAATACACGTGAAAAAAGGTTTTTTGTTCTTCTTAAACAGGAAGATGATGAACTTCACTATGGAAAAATCTATATACTTGAATTATCATCCAATGAAAACAGATAAACTGTTGTGGTTAACAGGAAAAAAGGCTGATAATTAATGGTGCATTTCTAACTGATGACAATATTACAGTACCGTTTCACCTCTCTCCCATAACTGTCTCAGGCTCACCTGTCTTATTGTCCTGAGAGAGTTCTCTGCTCTTTAGGTACTGCAAATGTAGGAATAAACAGAACAAACACAGCAGTTCTTAGTGTAGGTCTTGGCACATCACTTACACACAGAACAGGAGGCCTCTTCCTATCGGAAAGATTCTGAACAGACTTTAAAAATAATACCGTAAAAGTCATGAATTCAAACTAATTTGGATTGAAAGCTGAATCAAATAAATAGAAAATTAGTGCCTAAGACTAACAACTTGTTTCAATACTTTCCAATATATTTTAATCTAATTTATATTCATTTCAACCAGCCAAATCAGTGAAACGCAGCCATGAAAATGTTAGGTCACAGGCTTTTGAGGCTCCCCTGGGAGGAATGAAGGGGAGAGAAACACCATGACACTATCGGGTTAGTTGGAGAAACGAGACTATTGATGGCAAATTGCATAAAAGTATTCTATCAATATTAAATTTACTGCAGTTAATGACTGCACTCTGGTTGCATAAGGCAACACCACTGTGCTTAGAATCCTCTGCAGCTGGGCTGGGGCACAGATGAGCACAGCGGGGCCTCGGGAAACAGGTTCTTCCTCTGTGTGTTCTTTCAGCTCTGGGGCTTGAAACTAATTTCAAATGAAACATTCAAAATAGCACACCATACATAAATATATGCAAATTACCTAGTCATTTCTTCTTCCAAAATTCTGCCTGGATTTAGCTGTGACAATGAAAAATTCACTAAATAAAAACAAAAGAACAAAAACATTTTTGAAAGATTGAACTATTAGTAACCATTGCCAGAATTTTAAAATCTGCTATGAATTTAAACACATGAACTATATATAGATGACCTTACAGGTAAGTTTCTCTAAGGAAAGTTCTCTTTCTTTTCTCTTTTCACATGCAAGCGCACTTTCCCCCTTGCCAGGGTCTGGAGTGTCCCGGGCCCAGGTGGGGCCCATGGGTGCCTTGGGTTCTGTCACCCCGGGGTCTGGTCCTTTCGCAGCACACAGGGGTTGATGAAGGCAGAGCTGCGAGCCAAAGAGCGTGCAGGCAGTGGAGGCAACCAGAAGTGGTCCGAATAGAAACAGGGATTTAAGGGACATTTTTCTTCTTGGTGGCTTAAAGTACTTTGCAAACATTTGGTTCTGTAAATTTCATGTTTATATTCATGTTTTTCTCTTTCTGCTTTGTTACACTATTAGCAAGGAAAAGGCCAAATTATCTCCATTGCTGGAGAGGAATAAGGCCAGGAAGACAGCTGAGTCTTCAGCAGACCTCCGGCCACTGCGTCAAGGCCTGCATGCTGTGACCTGGCTACCAGCAGCACTGTACACTGGTATGAAATACACTGTGAATGAAATACACTGTGCCTGTGAAAACACTGTGAATGGAATACACTGTGCCTTGATTTGAGCTCACTAGAGAGAAAGTCAGTGTGCATTTCATGGTTTTCTTGTATTAGTAAGTGCTATCATTCTGTGCTAGGTACTGTTCTGAGCACGTTACATACATTAGTTCATTTACTTTTGAAAAAACCCATGAGATAAGATTGTTCTTTAAGTCCCCATTGCATAGAAGAGTAAAACTGAGGCAAGAAGAAATAAAGTAACTTATCCACAACCAGGGAGCCAGCAACCGCAGGGCTGAAAATTGCCCCCAGCAGTTTGATTTACACCCTCACACCACTACACTGATTGATTTGTGATAATGTTTTGCTTTGACTTTTTTAAAAATGTAAAGTGAAAAAATAAAAACAAACAGGCCGTATCTACTGCATTCATGAAGTAATAAGATAAACATTAGCACACCAGGAAGGTCATTTCCAATTTTCCTTTGGAGACTGGTCTTTGCTCATTTTTCCTGTGTAAATAGCTCAGGGGCATGTTTCCCCAGGGCTGTGTATTCTTCTTATCTTTTTCCAAAGGGAGATAAGGCTTAGATTTATTTAAAACTTACCTCAGGATTCACTACCAGGCACAAGTTTTTCCTACTGACAGGAGACGTCTCTGACTGACTTAACCAGCTGCTGGCCCTTGCAGTTCCCTTCCGGCCTGCTCCCTTCCCTTCTCAGCAGCCAGGTCAGTTCTGAGCATGGCCTTCTTCCTGAGTTCTCACACAGTGGACCCAGGACAAGTGCTTGGAACTGGGGGCTGCTGAGCCACGCCAAATCTGCAGGATTTTAGGACTTGATGGGAGGCTTCCCCCTGACTTAGAAACCAGGTGAAATATTTAATAAACCTTCTTTTCTTTCAACACCTGTCTTGAACTTTTTAATTTTCTTCATTAAAAAAAATCATTTGTGATGCCGACTCTCTGTTAGGAAACAAGACTCTGGGCTTTCCAGAGTTGACTCCCTCCCGCCTTAGTGCCGGGTGAAGAATGACAATCTAATTCCAAGCCCGCGGCCAGAAGCCCAGAGCTCTGGCTGTCCAGAACACAGGCAAGACAAATGTTGGGGGAAGGGGCGAGAGTGTTCCCAGAAGTCAGGGGCTCCAGCTCTGCAAAGAGCCAGCACCTGCTACCTAAGGTGCTTCAGCCTCATACAGGCTCCCCCAGGAGTCATCTGGTTTGGTCTCTCAACGTCTCTGAGAGCCTTGAAAAAAGTGCAGATGCCCGAACTCCACCCGAGCCCCATTAAACCAGAACCTATGGCTGAGCCTGGAGCATCGTAGTTTCCAAAGGCATCCCTGATGCTTCTAATGTGATGGGATGGAGAACTCCCACATCCATTGCTGTAACAAAGGGATGGGGAACTCCCGAAGCTGCTGGTTCATTTCAGAGAGTTTCCACACAGTCCATCCATGCGGCTGGCAAAGAAAAAGGCTGACAGAGGGGCTCACACTTCCAGTTTTCTACTGATATTTATCGATCACTTATTGTGTTCCAGGTACTTTACATAGATTGCCTCATTTAATTCTATTCCTAAATCTGTCATCACCTTTCAAAGATGGCAGCAGTAAGGTTAGAGAGGTGGAGCGAGGGGCCCAGGGTCACGAGCTGTGAGTGCAGGGTCTGAGTAATAAGTGCCTACGTCAGGGTTCAGGGTCAGGAAACAGAGTCCTCATCGTCAAAGAGCGGCTGTAGCTCGGACAGCGGGGGCACTGCAGACAATTAAAGTAACCTGGGGCTCCTCACACCTTTCCCCCAACCACAAGGCAATGCAGGACGTGCAGGGTGCAGCAATTTCCCTGCAGAATTTTTACATTATTGTGGTCACGCAGACGTGGCCTAAAAGATGCCAAGCTGTGGTACCCTCTGCGGAAGAGCTGTTTTCTATGACTGTCTCTAAGGTTTTGGAGCAAGTGTTCTGTGCGCCGTTTCTGAGGGGACAACCTTGTCACAGTGGCTGTCGACAAGGATGGGCTGTGTTCACAATGCATCATTGTCAGCTCTCTTGTAATCCGAACCTTTTTCTCTTCTAGTGTTCCCTTGTCTTTTGGCTTCTAGTTGTCTAAAAAAATCTAGCAACTGTAAAATACAGACTCTAAATAAACATCATCTCTATCTGCTGAGCTGGAAGTTTGTTATCACTGAAAGCCCTGAGAGGTTCGCCATCACTGAGGGCTGCAGCTAAGTGGCCTATCTTCTCCCAACACTGACGACTTTTACCAACTCTGCAACTCTGAACACAGCAAGGAGAACTCCGAGCTTCGAGTGAGTCTCCTCTAGACTTCACTTTCTCCAAAGAGAGGACTGGATATTAGAAATTCATACATCTGAGGGGCTTACCATTCCAAAGCCCGCAAGATAGCCAACCGGCTAGTGACAGTGCGGCTTCAGAGGACCAAAGGTCTCCAACCGGAGTGTTTATAATTTGGAGGCTACTGAAACGAAGTTGGCAACTCTCACAACTTAGTCCTCTCAGCACTCATTCGCTCATGCAGCTACCCAACAAGACCTTGCATCTGGCCTTGGACACAGCACACAGCACCTGACTGCCACGACCAGCTTCAAAGCTATTCGATTGCATAACTAGAAATAAGGAGAAAACAAGCAAACTGTCCCAAATTGCAAGTGGTAGAATGATTCTGATGTTTGTAAAAGCAAAACAAATTGATTCAAAAATGAACTCAGCTGTGATAAGTGAATTGTGCTGTTTCAATCCTTTACAAATTTTAAAACTTGTGATAAAAATACATAACTATATTTAAGTGACCAGTCCAGTAGTGCTAAGTATATTCACACTATTATACAACCAATTTTCTAAACTTTTTCATTTTGCAAAATTAAAACTCTGCCAATTAAACAAGAGCTTCCCATTTCCCCCCTCCCAGTCCTTGGTAATCACTATTCTACTATCTGTTTCTATGAGTTTGACTACTCTAAATACCTCGTAAAAATGGAACCATACAGTATTTACCTTTTTGTTAACTGGCTTATTTTACTAGCATGATGTCTTCAAGTTTCATTCATGTTGTAGCATGTATCAGAAATTTCTGTCTTTTTAACTGAATAATATTCCACTGTATGTATAGATCACATTTTGTTTATCCATTAATGTGATTTTTTAAAGAAAAACTGAGATCAATTTTTGATTGATGTGTTCCATTATGGACATTACCCTGATATCTATATCTATCTTTATATATATAAATATACAGTGTGTATACATTATACATATAATTTATATGTAATAGATCTAGACCTTCTATAGAGTAAAAGGAAAACACACAGAAAATTCCTGCTTCCCCCACTTCTTAGAAAGACTTTTTACAGGATCCTATTCTACTCCAACTTCATATTCACAGTATTTGTGTGAAGGCTTTGGTCACTGGTCAAACATAGGTAATCCATTTAAAAACTCTCCAAAGCATTTTTTTTTTCTCCTAGTGAAAACACATTCATTCTGGGGGACGTATACCTGGTCACAATCATGGTTGGATGACAGAAAGTCCTGGTTTGGAGCCTGCTCTAACACTCACCAGCAGAGTAACCATGACAAGCTGATTACTCTCTCCAAGCCTTCACTTCTTCACATGTTATAAAGAATAATGTCACCTATGGTGGACAATTGTTCTTACAAACATGAGGCGAAATTGTGCATATACTGTGCTTACCATAGGACCTAGCACATAGTGCACTCAATGAAAGGATACTATTATCATTTTTTAAATAAATATATTCTGTTCAGAGACCATAGTACTTGAGAACAAGTAAGCTTATTTTTGTAGGCACTTACTGTAAATGTTTCTGTATTTATATAAACATACCCTATTTTATCAATGAGGCAATTGTATTCCCTTAATTACATGTATGCCTTACAACAGCAACTAAGTATGTAGCACTCAATCAATGAACACTGAAAAATTCTTACAAAATTCTATGATGGAGTGTAGCATGGTGGCACACTTCTGTAATCCCATGATCCTCCTGGAGGCTAAGGCAGGAGGATCATGAGTTCAAGGTCAGTCTGAACTAGAGTGAGACCCTGTCTCAAAAAACAAACAAAAAAACAAAAGAACAAGAACAAAAAAAAGGATGGAGTGCATTTTTCTCAGTTATCTTTGCTATGAAAATGTCTCTTCATTACATGTTTTTACTTTAATTCTACGTCTGTGCTGACTCAAGCTTCATTCAGTCTCCTCTAGTCCAGTAACCTTGAGGTCTCATGGAGAAACAGCCCATCTGGCTTGGTAGAAGCCCTAGAAATTGTCCCTGCTGCATGGAATCTGGCCAACAGGAAAGTAAGAGCGTCTCTGGGTCCCTGCTCCAGTGGTGTTGCCAGGGCCCCTCTTGCAGGTCTGTTTGGCACAGATTCCCTTGGCACACCAGTGTTTGCATCTGTCCAGTGAGTTCCAAGGCGTGTCATCCTCACACTGAAGCCATTCACTCGTTAGTGACTGGCATATCCAGTTCTGGTCAGTCTCATTGATCAAAAAATCAGACACAGAAATAGGTATGATTTTAGGGGGATAGGAGAAAAAACACAGAAACAGATCTACAAGCTGCTCACAGTGGAGAAACTCGGCCGTTCTAGCTGACATACTTCGAAGCCCATCAGTAATCACTGGTGGGAGCACATGGATGCCACACAGACAGACTGTGCTATGTGCCCGCTGCCCTCAGGCAGGGTGGCTTTCCTACTCAATTCACATGCAGCACTTTCTCTGCATTTCCTTATCACATATTACAAATCAAATGGTGGCTGGGAATTCAGCTCAGTAGCACTGTGACTGCCTTGCGCAAGGTCCTGAGTTCGATCCCCGGTACCAAAAACAAAACAAAACAAAAAAATTAAATGGTACACATGTATTTCTTGACAGTTAAATGAGTATTTAGGCATTTTCTAGGAGTTTCACAATTGCTTTCTGCTATATAGGGTCTTCCAGTGTCTAAATCACTAAGCAGGTAGCTGATAAATATTCAAAATCAATTTCTAATCTTTTACCCAGAGAAATTTCATGGTTTGTAAAAAACAAAAGTAGTGAAATAATTTACCTGGAAAGGAGAAGTTTCCATCAGCATTGACAAACTTATCCGTCATGTCCCCAAACACGATCATCATGAGGGGAAGGCCTGACCCGTGAGCGACAGCCATGATGGTGCCCAGGCACATGAGCGCTTTATCCTGCCAGTCAGAGTACCGAAACTAAAAGGGAGAACAACGTGGCTTGTTACGTGGGGCTTCTCTACCTCCTGCAATTATATACTCTGGATTTTTATTTAAAGGCAGGACTATTTTAATAGTTGCAAATGAATATATTAGAGGAGAACGGCAATCCAAATCATTGACAGATTAATTTCACACTTCTATTTATTTTGTACTCTGTGAAGGCATCAATCTAATTCTGTTTAATCAGTATCTGATTTGGGGGAATGACTACAATATATGATCAGAAGGGATAAAAGTTTGATTCCATTAAGCAATATTGCTTGGTCTTCCAGAGCTCCCGAGGTAGAGAATTAAGAACAGCTAAAGGGCAGACATTAAGTACACACACACACAGCATATCCTTTAAAGCAACCTTCAGACTATTTCAGAGGGAGAATTAAAAATAGGAGGCAAACAGCCCATCTGAGTTTCGAGATTAAATTAGCTTTTAAGGGCAGCGCAGCAGTGGAGTACAAGCTTTGTGGAGTGTCCAGCTGCAGGCTTCAGGGAGGTCCTGCTCCGAAGGATGCTAGGGGGAGTCAGGGGAGAGACACCTCCTGCAGGGTTAGGCCACAGCCCTCAGTGGAATCCCTGCAGGGCGTGTCAGGAGGTATGGAGAGGATGTGAAGGAGGTCTAGAGGGCCTGGTGAGCCACACCAAGGAATCTGGACTCAACACTCCCTGCAGAGAGGAGGGGAGATGCCAGTTGTCACAGTGAACTGCAAACCCCAAGAACTGACCACAGATCTGGACCTGACACTTCAAATGGCTTTGCAGTCTCTGTTGTTTTCATCTTCTCTAATTTTCACCCTTTAGCAATAATTTTAATTGACCTTGTTGTGGCTCTTGCTTTGTTCTGTTTTCCTTCTCTGCCTTCCAGGCTGCATCTTCTTTCCCTTGTGTTTCCACTTCTGTAGCTTTTTTTCCTCCTCTTGCATCTTACTTCTCTTTTCAAACTTTTTACTTGCTCATTTCCCCTAGGGCCTTTTTACAGGACGAGGAACAGCAATCTGACCATGAGTCCAGCTGGTGGGGGGAATGCTGGGGGCTGAAGCTGGGTCACACAGGGTCAATACCCAGGTGGGCAGAGGCTGGAAGCACATGTGGCCGATACGGTGTGTATGCAAACTATTCTCAAAGGGTTCTGGAAGTTCAGTTGAGGTCTGGGGGTAAATTCCACTATTGAAACACACAGGACAGGCAAGAGCACTGAAAGAGACATTGGGTCAGAGCAAGGGAAAGCTTGGAATGAAAACCAGGGAGCACGTTATGGTAAGATAATACTAATTATCAACAAGAATGAAAATCGGGATGGGGAATTGGAGGAGGAGGGCAGGGGGACGAAGAGGATTAAACAGAGAACCAAGCTGTATTATGCACATGTGCCCACTCCCAAGATGACTGCAAACTGCATGTCCTGCAAACATGCACCGATAAACATTTTCTAAAGTTTTTAAAAAAAGAACAAATGGGGAAGAGTTCCTAAAATTGCTACCAAAGATACCAGTGTCCTCAAGATTAATTCTCAGTGGCTCACAGGGAAGGGAGAGATTGTGTTTGGTCTGTCAGCCACGGTCCAAAAAGCACCGGGTCAGCCTCTCACGAAGTGCTCTCTTAGGGGCATTACCTGACTCCGAGAAACATTTTAATGCTCTTTACATTAATTAAATTTAAATTTCTAAGCTTCAGTTTAAAATTAGACAAATTTCACAACACCCTAAGCAAATCTTGATCTGTTCTCAAGAAAATAATGTATTCCTAATTCTATTGTAGCAGAGTTTTATCCTGACCTCTTTGAGGATAAAAAATATCTACTCAGAGGGAGAATAAAAATTAAGTTTAAATCCAATTTAAACTAAAGCTTTTAAATTCAAATGAATTTTTCTGTTTCTATTATATGGTGTGTAGTGTTTTATTTTATATAGGAGACAGATTAAAAATCTGTGTATGAAGACCAGATTTCATATTACAGACAATATATTCTCTAAGCACTACATTCAAGTTTTTTACTCTTACTGAAACTTCTAAAAACAAAAATGCCAGGGAATGCAGCAGGAGGGATGACCGTGAGCAAGGCCCTGTAGTGGCCTGAGATGCGTGCACAATGTGTGAAGGTTTCGAGTCTTTCTCCCCACTTACTCCCTCAGCTGAAGGTTCAGCTCAACTAACTCTACTTCTTTGCTGTCAGTGAAGGCTGTCAGTTCAAAACACATCATATTTATCAAAAGTACGGGAACACTTTCTTGGGCTGCTTCTTTGAGACATATTAAAAATGAAAAACAGATTAGATTACTTCCAAAAGTGTGCTGGCTCACCTTGAACCAGCAGAAAAGCCCTGAAAGTGGTCTTAAGCATGATCAAAATCCTCACTAGTTAGCCTGTACTTGACCAATTTTCTTGGAAGCCAAATGCAAACATGGATTTCTTAACAGATTTTAAAGTTGCTGTAGTTAACAATCACCCCCTTCACATGAAAGCCCATTTTAAGGTAGGCATGGGGAAGCAGTGCAGAGATGGTGGTTTGCATGGTGCTGAGCTCACACGTCCTCTCTGAACTTCCCCGAACACTGGTGGCTCTGACTGTGGTAGCCAGCCCGTCCCACCTCTGGAGAGTGTGGCCATGGTCTATGACAAGCCAACCCAGTCACCACAGGCACGAGGGACAATCTGTCGCTGCTGTAGCTCCTGAATCAAGTTAAATGAAAGCTAAGATTATTCCCACTTAATATTTCACAGCTTACCAATGTTAATGGTCCAATCAAATTCACTTTCTTCATTTTTTCTTTGTCTTGGTTGCTGCAAAAATATAATTAATTTAAAAGTTACAAAATGTTTCACACTCAAATATAAATCTAAGTAGTTATGATAGTCCATTATAATATTTCCAGACATAAAAAGGTGATATGCACAATGTACGGAACAATCCAGGAAGTTGCCAAGTAGGAAGGCACTGTCCAAGGTACTAGGGGGACATCTGGATAGCGAGAAACAGCCTCACAGAGGTCACAGGAGGGGAGAACAGCGTCTGCCACTCAACTCAGCATTTCTTTCTCTTTACTAAGCACAAACCGAACACGAGCAAAGCCTGCTCTCCTGCAGGACTGTGGGGGCTGTGTCTGTGTGCACCCAGAATTCAGCTCCTTCTCCCCTTGTGGCCCATCTGCAGAGGGCAGCCTCTGCCGGTCTCTCCACTGTCATGGAGGCCCAGTCTGTCCTAGCCGCAGCTAGCAGCCAGCAGGGTCAGCATGGGGATGCTCCAGTCAGTCTCTGCTTGCGAACCTGCAATGGCCCCTGTTTATCTCAGAGGAGGCGCCAAATCCTTACCCTAGCCCTCTGTATACTGTTTCTGGGTTTGTTTTTTGCTTTTTTGGTACCAGGGATCCGGCAAAACCACTGAGCTAAATCCCTGGCCCTGTATACTGTTTCTTTTTTCCTCCTCCTCCTCCTCCTCCTCCTCCTCCTCCTCCTCCTCCTCCTCCTCCTTCTCCTCCTCCCCACTCCCCACCACCACCATGAATGGAACTCACTCTACCACTGAGCTACATTCCCAGACCATTATTTTCCAATTTTGAGACAGGGCCTCACTAAGTTGCCCAGGAGGGCCTTGAACTTGTGACACTCTTGTCTCAGGCTTCAGCCTCCTTCATCACCTTTCTGACCATATATCTCACTTCACCTCTGCTTGCTCTGCTTCAGCCATGCTAGTCTCTCTGCAGCTGTATGGATACCAAATGCATCCCATCTCAGGGTCTTTGCATGGTCACTCCCACCAGGAAGTCTCCCCCAGCCCTTCCCTTACTTCTTTCTAGTCTTTCTCATATATTGCCTCCAAAACAAGACCCAGGCTAGGGTGCAGCTCATGTAACAGCTGTGCTAAGCCCTGGGTTCTAGCCCAGCACCATGGGGCAGGGAATGCTCAAATAATATCCTCCCAACTGTTCTATTTGGCAAAAGGCACTACCTCCATGCACTCTCCATTCCTGCAGCTAATCCATGATTTTCCATAGCATCATTACCTTCTAATAGTCACTTATTTAGAATTCAACTACTTTTTACTTATTTATTAATATACGTATTATTTGTCTATCCACCAGACTATATTGTAATGAGGGTAGAGGTTGTTTTCTTTTTGTTTTTACCTAAGGTGACTTTGCCCAAGTAGGTGATAAAGTTTACTCATATGACTCTCACATTATGTAGAATTTTTACTATGGTACTGGATGAACATCTGACACTGAATATGTTTAAAAGATGTGCCATAGCCACAGGAGTGGAATGAGGATATACCTACCCTGAATTTGATACCTAACAATGTGCTTGAGAGTGGAAGTGGGCTTAGCTTCTCTTGAATGTATAATCCTTGGTCTGCTTTTATAAAGCTCAATCTCATATTTAGTTTCATCATCTTATTCTTAACTCTCCATGTTTCCATAGTGAGCCTCTCTGTCTGCCCAGCAGGGGCTCTGACTGAAGCTCCTGAAGTCGTCCTGTGTTCTGGGCACTGCCACACCCTCTGCAGGACAGCTCCATATCACCCTACCCAACATTCAGCCAGCTGGACACTTAAACAGCCCTCCTCGGGAAAAACCCACCTCTAATGGATCCTCAGCCTTAACTGCCAGCTGATAAATACCACTTTTTTCTAATAGAAGTAATATCGGCCCTTTCTTTTCCAATTCTGTATGGCAAATCTAAATTTTCCATGGATAAATTGCACAACACGTTGAAGAGGGAGAGCAGTGTCATTGTCCAAACAGAAGCAAAACAATGCTTCGGTGTAAGAATCAGACAGGCACATTTTCAGTTAGCAATCAGGCTTCTTATAGCTGAGGACAAACTATAGAATCTAATAAGCCAGGTCCATAGTGCCGCTGACCTGACCTTAGCTCTGGAGCTGTAATGGCCTCATAAACGATTTGAGGCTAAAGATGGACTTCATTCTCTCTTCCACAGGGGAAGAGGAGACACACAACAGGGGCCTGGCCCACCTGCCCTAGCAGAGAGCAAAGTGGCCTAGAGCTGGGCAGCTGAGGTTTCCTGCACCTGCACAGACCTCCTGGGTAAGCACAGGTTAGGGCAGGATCCAGCACAAACATCTCCCCATACCACCAGAGGGAGAGGAACAGGGGCTTTGCTTCAGGCCAGGGCAGAGAGCAGCAGTAGCCACACAGGGGCCAGGCCACTAAGGCAGCAGAGAAGTGGCCTCCCAGGAGGGTAAGGGCACGGGCCCAGAAGGAAGAGTGAGAGGGGCCTGCTCCAGAGTGGGGAGGGGGTGGGATCTGCTCCAGAGTGGGGAGAGGGTGGGGAGAGGGTGGGGTCTGCTCCAGAGTGGGGAGAGGGTAGGATCTGCTCCAGAGTGGGGAGAGGGTGGGATCTGCTCCAGAGTAGGGAGAGGGTGGGGTCTGGTCTGGCCCAGAGGAGGAGAGGGGCTCTGCTTCAGGCTGGGTGCAGAGACTGGGCCACCACCGCGGGCAGTGGACCCCTGGGTGGAGCTGTTCCTGTCGGGTGCCGCGGGCTGTTGCTAGCCGTCAGGGAGTGGCGGCTGAGCCAGGCGGCTTCCTGCTGGCTCCCAGGTACCCAGACCCACCTGCAGCCTCGGGGATCACTGTTGCCGCCTGCGAGCTGGTTCCTCGTCTTCTCCAGCTCCATCTCCGCCTGAGGGACAGCAGCCTGGCGTCCCCGCCGCTCCGGTCCCACCTCTGCCCGAGACCCTGTCGCTGGGCGCGAGTCCCTGGCCCCCACCGTCCGAGGCCTCCCTCCCCGGCTGTCCACAGCCCGCCCGCCCTCTCCCTGCACACCTGGTCCTGCTGAGAGTCAGAAGCGCTGCAGCCTGGACTCTGCTCCCCTAGCTTGGTCCCTCCTGGCCCGGCCCTATAGACACCGCCCCACCAGTGCCTGTCACAGCCCCAGGTGGGGACCGTGTCAGTGTCCCAGCCCTGGGACTGTGCAGTTACGGGAGTGCCCCGAGCCCAGGGCCCTCTCCAGCCCCTGGTCTGTGTCCCCAACTCTGGTCCAGGCACCAAGGGGCCCAGCAGAGGGATGGGACAGCTGCCCTTACTCTTCCCTGTGCTCAAGGCCAGAAGGGAGTCGGGAGCAACAAAAACCCACGTTTGTACTGATGAAGACACTGATGCCTGGAGTGCCTGCACCCTGCCGGGCCCAGTACCATTCCCTGGCCCACTGTAATAGCCCCGTGCTCTGGGCTCCCCTGACTGACTGCTCCACTCCTCTCCAAAGGACAGGTCCCAAGTAGCCAGCGGCAGGCATTGTGGCTTTGAAGTCAGTGAGCTGCAGATAGCTTCGCTTTCATTAAATTTGTGACTTGGACTCTGCTCATTTCTCTAGGCCTCAGCATCCTGCTCTGTAACCTGAGAATACAAACGTCCCCCTCACCTATCTGGTGATGATTACTGAGTTAATAGATGGATTGAGAATGAGGCAAAAGTACCTGGTGCTGCACCCAAAACAATACTAGTTCCACAAATACGGTTCCCTGCTCCCAAATCAGGCAGCATCATTATCTGCTGCTCCTGGGTCTCACAGGCTTACCGCACAATGCTGGCTCTGTGGCTTGGTGGGTTGCAGACAGTCCAAAAGCTGAGTATAGCAGAGGGAGGTTTTCAGATAGATCCCGGTAGGACTCTGCCTCGGCCACTCACTGGCTGCCTGACCCAGGCAGGCTATTGAGCTCTTGATTCAGCCTCTAACTGTAAAATGGGGTTTGACAGGATTAGAGATAATGTGAACAAACTGCCCTGCACACAGGAAGCACTAATAGACGCTGTTAACATAGTTGAATTCAGAATGGGCAGAGAAGAGGACCCTAAAGAGGACTGGCAACTCCAGCACCTGTCATGAGTGCCATCAGCTCACACTGCCTCAGCCATTGTGGAAACTGACCGGAAATGGGCTGCCAGAGTCACTGGAGCTAAGGCTCACTGTGGAATTGCAAAAGAGGCACAGATTTACTTGACTATTTCTCCTCAAAGCCCTTTTCCTCCTTCTCCAGCCTGCCACAGTCATGAGGCTCTGTCTTCCTTCAGGTAGAATGCTTTCCCTCCAGGAGCCAGCGGTGTGCAGAGCATCAGTTCCAGGCACTCTGAGACTAAAGTGAGTGGAATGAATTTGATAGAAGGCCCTGTTGTGACCGAGGACATAAAACTCAAGAGATCTAAGGGGATGAGAAATGCTCTTTTATCTCTAATACAAGCAAGCTTGGGCAAGTAAAAAGCAGGTCCTTAAAGAAGGAGATTCTGAGCTAAAACAAAAATAATCCGCCAGACACCAGTGGAGAAGGCACTGTGTTTGCTTCTCTGTGGTCTAAGCCAGCTCACAAAGCAGTCCTTGTAAGGGCTGTGCACTCTGCAGGAGGCGGAGTAGAGGCCAAGTCCAGAGTTTCTCCCAGGAGATGCCAGTCCTACACGGCTGCATTGTGTGTCACCTGGGGTTAAGGCCATATGCTCAAGAGACATAGTCTCACACCACTATCGCAAGTGCTGAAATCCCAAAGATTGGACTTTACAGTGTACAATCCCAACAGTCCAGTGCCACCCTGGCTCACGAACTTCATCCTTTGCATGAGTCTATCGCAAACCGAATCAGATGAGAACCAAATCAAATTCAATGGTTATGATCAATGTTCACCTTATAGGGAAATTTTAGTTGGTACTATTATGGAAAAATAATTTTTAAAGTTTTTAAAGACATTTATTTCTATTTCTAAAAGGGAGTTTATTTGAGAAACATTGAAAAACTACAGAGCACATCATAGGCCACTTGTCACAATAAAATAGGCAGCTATAACATCCGGCATTCCTTTTTTATATTGGCCTATTCTTGAGACAGGGTCTCCCTATGTAGTACAGGCTGGACTTGAACTCATGGCAACCCTCCTGCCTCAGCCTTCCTGAATGCTGGGATTACAGGCATGCACCACTATGCTTGGTCCCAATTGTGACATATTTCTTCAGGCATACTAACAATCACACGGGTGTGACAGTTATGAACAGATGAATGTATTCATCAATAGGTTAACAAGCAAAATATATAAACACATATTACTGTGGTTGATAATTGTACATACCTAGCTTCATCACTGTGTTACCTGAAAAACGGTGACAGGAAACCTAAGTCTTCTGAAAGATCAATCAGAAATCTTGATATCATCACTATGTAGGTGGTCACTCAAGGGGCCAAGAACCCAAGGAATTTCAGTTTTCACAAATTCAGATGTTCAAAAGGGATATCTCTTCATTTACTGAAGTTCCAATGTTTTTACATACTCATATAGTGCTTATACATAGAGTCAACAATGTGATAATGCACTTTCTCAGAGCCGAACTTGCCAAAAAAGCATAAAATTAATTACAGCTCTCTAAATATTTAAACAGTTTATATTCCCAGTATTTGAAATAATGAGTAGATGAAATACATATCACAGCAAATTGTAAAAACTAATGCTGAGAATTTAAATTAGTGAAAAAATTCAAAAACAAAAATCTAAAAGTTTGACTTCAGAATTTCAACATTCAGGGTTTTAATCTTTCAGGACTGTGATTTTTGTCATTTCAACCTTCAGGATTATGACCAGCACAGGTTTATCTGCCTTACAGCCAATTCAGGGGCCCCTTCTAAATTTATTTGATAACAATGCAACGACTCCCTGCCTGGTGATCCCCTCCAGTAACTCATCCACCCACAAACTGTAAGCTGAACACTTACTATATTTAAGCTATGTGATAAACTGTATTTCCCCATTACACCCAAGCTGTAAGAAATCTTAATTTTCTCTTTGTGGTAGGATATTGAGATACCTGTGCATTTATGTGGGAACCTGGAATTAATATTCAATCTACTCTCAGGCTTTTCCCATCTTTCCCTTCACCACCTTTCTTTTCCATTTGCATTTTTGCCTTCTTTTGGGTAGGTTGAATGTTTTTATTATTAGATTTCTTTACTATTAGCTTATTAGGTATGCATTAAGTATCTGTTTAGCATTTACCACTTTCGTAAAGATCAGGACATGCATTTTTTTTTATGTGAAAGCAGATGTTTATTGCACAATTTTTAATTAAATGCCTTAAACAACAAAACATACTACCCTAAACTGACAATGAACTGGTATACAAATACTTCAGGCTAGAGGTATGTTTGTTCTGGATGAATTAGTATATAATAAATTCTCATGACATTTGATTCCAAAATGAATGCATGAATTAGATTGACATGATTAATAATTTAAAGCAAAATATAAACATTAAGGGCAAATGAAACACTAGCATTAATTTGTAGGAGTCAATTCAGTATCAGTGACTGGAGAACTATATATTTTTAAAAAATGAGAGGTCAAAAAATCTTTAGTAAGCAACCTGTGCCTATGTACACCTGAAGGTCAAGGGCTGGAGTTATATTCCTGATGAATACCATTAGGACAAGGATGTATAACGTCTACCACACATCTGTTTCAAAAACAGCATGTTTCCAAAATTATACATTTCTTTACAAATGAACATTACATATTAGCAACTACAGAGATACCATCAGGATAAGCTCCAAAATACGCTGCTTTCACAGGCATCCCTGAGCTGTATTTGAAGGCATCCATTTTAATCTTGGGGCTTTAGGACCATCTTCTTTGTTTTAATTGGTTTTATGTTTCCATTTTCATCTTCTTCATAATTGGCATGGTCTCTCTTCTTGGCAAACATTTTTCCAATTGTCCCTACCAAAGTCTCATATCTTCTAGCCATTTCTTCATCTGACACATCAAGCTCTACTGTTTCATCTTCCTCTTGCTCCTCTGCTTTGTTCTTTGCATTCATCTGAAGCATTAACTTCTCAACTTCAGGATTAAATCCTCTGAATGACATTCTTCCATAGAGAAGCTCTTTACATAACAAGAAACTCTGCTCTTCTATTATGAAACTTTCTTTCTCTTTAAGCTCTGGCAAATCCAAGTACCAGGGCTCTTCACTAATGATCTTCTTTTCTTCCTCTTCTAGCTGTTTCTTGGTTTCTGAGTCCACTCCTCTTTGCTTGAACTTCATGTGTAGCAAGTTCTTGGACAGCTTGGTCTTGTGCTCCACCGCCATGCTGGTTCCAGCCCAGGGCCAGGACCACCATGCTGGTTCCAGCCCGGGGCCAGGACATGCGTCTTTGACTCATCACTGTACTTTTTCTTCTTCCTGGGCAATGCAAGGATTTTAGAACTCTTAAATCTCATTTATCCACCTTTGGCTTTTACACTATTGTTGTCATGCACTTTTTCTTTTTTTTAATACATTAAGTTTATTGGTACATTTTAGGTATAGATTATGATCAAATTATTCACTGGGAATTTGTACCTGTACATGAAGCATCTTGGTTCTTGATTTTCCCCCTTCCCCTACCCTCCTTTCCACTCCTCTAGCCCTATTTACAAAAGACTTTGTTTCCATTCTTTCCTTCTTTTCTCATATTTTTTTCTTTTCTTTCCCCTACTCCTCCTTCCCCTTCCCCTTTGGACCTTTGCTTCCTATTTCACATTATCTATTATACATTTTGGTCCTCATTTATACTTTCAGTTTCTCACACTAGAGAAACTATTTGGTATTTACACATGTGTGTCCTATTTATTTCACTTAATAATATGGTTTCAAGGTGCATCCATTTAGCTATTAATTTCTCTAGTTTCTCATTCTTTATGGCTGAGTAGTACTCCATTAAAAAAAACAACCACATTTTCTTTATCTAGTCTCCAGTTGATGGGAATCTGAGCTGTTTCTAAGATTTAGCTATTACAAACTGTGCCGCTATGAACATGGGTGCACATATATCGCTGTGGTATGATGCTTTTAATTCTTTTGGGAAGA